ATTCAGTCCACCCCTCCTGCTCTCTGTCACTATCCCTCTTCTCCCAGTGATTATAAAGGTCTTTAGATCTAAGGGATGAATGAATTACCAAAGGCAAAGACAAGGCTTGTGATTTAGACGCCGTGAATGAAAAATTACTCTTTTGTTCCCTTCATCAATTGCATGTCTAATGAAATCAAAATCCCGATCGCATAATCAGAAGAGGGTCCTCCACCCAGAGACAGACCTGATGTGATTTGTAACCTTTCTCTTCTTAAGTGGAGATTAAGGCAAATCTCCGTCACATTGTTTCCTGCAGCAGGAATGGATAGTCTTTTCAAAGAAATTAACATGGTTGAAAAAATAGAAAATATCTCACCGTTTCCCCTTGTCTGGCCTGCTTTGCTCGACTCTCTTTAATCTAGAGCTCAAAGTTAGTTAGTTAGTTTTTGGATTAAATGACCTTTATCTAAAGTCCTGAGCTCTGTAAACTCCTAAATCTTTCTGCTTTTGACTGATTAACCCACCAGGCTGAGACACCATTTTGGGCGTGTATAACCGCAACCTTTCTGGTAAGATCTTGCCCAATAACCTGTCTTTGGCTTTGAACCAAACCTCAGCAGGTTAGCTTCAGCCTGACGGATGGAAACACTTCGTATCTCACAGCTGATGAGGGAGCCCAGCTCCCTCCAGGGATCACTTTGCTAATTAGTATTAATTACTCTAAATTCAAGCCCTACATCCAACCTCTGCTTTTCCCTTCTCTATGCCCGATGGAATCCCTGAAGACAATCCAGGATGAGGTTTTACCAGATAAGTCTCTCATAACTAAAAAAGATGAGTTTTAAACATGAATAGAAGGCCTAAATATGCTTATAGTCCCTGTTCAGTAATAAAGACAACTAATACATATGTCATATGTGGTCATTAAGTCATCATTGAGCTTAGTAATATTATAGCTAATTTGCATCATTAAACTGACACAATGTGGATAATTAACCTGTTGGGAGCCATATTTATGATTTATCACAAGTAAAGAAGTTCAATAATAAAATGATAATTGGATTACCATTAGTTATCATATACAGGATTTCCTACAGGAGATGGGTAAAAGAGATCTTAGGTTGACTTTAATAAACCATGTTTCAATTTTTTAGGAATCACAAAACACGAGCATGACCTGTAGTTCCACCATGTCGCATTTGAGAGACCTATCAGCAGAAGGAATGTGATTATTTGGTGTAAGATCCAAATTAAGACTTTTTTTTACATTTTTTTTCTTAATAATAAGCTCAGGACAGGTTCTAGTAGAAATACTTAACAGTTTTAATATTATCTAAAACATGTATAAACCACAGAAACACAAAGAATATTACTAAAGGAACTCTTATCATTTAGACAAACACAATTAGACTTGTGGTCTTTAATACAGAAAATCATATCACATTCTGCACATTGCTTTTTAATAGAGACCAAATATAGAGGGAACCAAGCAACCTATTTTAGTCACTGATAACTGTTAGCAGGTACAGTAAACATAGAAAACAATAGTAAAACGGATCAATGAAGGATGGGAAAAAGAAGCATTCTATGGGTCGCATTTACTCATCCAATTTAATTAAACTCAATTTTCCCTCCGAAATGCGTAGAGTATGTTGGATTTTGCAGTTTTGTGTTTTAACTGGGAGGGAACTGGAAAAAACCCACAACTCTTCTTTAACTAAGCAGCAGCCTAAAAAAAATTAGCACATATCCTTGAGGACAATATTGAGGACAACAATAATAAATAGTTTTATGCAATCATCTTTTTGATAAACAGTGTAAGGGGCCCCTCTAGACTATTGTTATGTTTTTGTAAAGCTTTTAAGCAAACTTGTCCAATAATGCTATGAATTGTGTAAAAAGGCATGTGTCACTAGAAAGATAGGAATAGGTACAATGCACACAGACTCCAAACAGCTCACACTATAGCCCCATTTACACTGCCCTCTGAAGACCGATGCATGCCTAGCTTGGATCAGTTAACCCTGCAGAGCTCGGTTCCTTAAGACCATTTACACATCATGCTAGCACGATTCCTCCCCTCCTAGTGACAATATACGGTACTACTGCTCTCTAGAGGTAAACAAGCAAATCAACATATCAGCGCCGTAACATTCAGGAAGGTGTGTTTTGTTATCATTGGGATATTTTGTTGTTTGCTGAGAGTCAGGCGAAGAAGGCAGCCTTTGGTAAATTTACTTGACAGAATCGGCTTTTGGTAAGTGGATACAACAAATGATAGTTGAATCAGGGCTTAAAAAACGATGGACTTTAAGGCTCATTACACTGCTGAGCAGAATAATCACTGGAAATTAGGGATGGAATGGTTTATGAAAACCGTCCGAACCGTTCGGTTCGACTGTCTACGTTCGATTCGCATGTGTTGCGTTCTGTTCATGCGCTGCTCCTTTTTCTTATAGACAAAGCGTGTACACTCCAGAGCAGAAGGTGGCGGTACTGCGACCAAAGCCAACCAGAAGACGAAGAAGCTAAGCAGCGTAGCAGAAAAAAAATCTGTTGTTGTGGAGAATTGTGTGGGTATAGCGAGTTGGAAAGAACAGGTGTTGGAAGACATGCCAGCAGCACTTTATAGGTCTGCTGTATGGGACCACTTTGCATTTAGAGTGACCTACGATGATGGCAGAAAAGTTGTGGATAAAAATGCAACACTGTTCAAGCATTGTGCAACACGTTTTGTTTATGCTAACAGCAACACGACCAACATGTCAGGCTAACAGCCAACATATACCCAACCGAACCGAAAACAATGAATTTTGTGAACCGTTCCACCCCTACTGGAAATCGTGAGGCAAAGAAGGGAAGCTAGTATTTTTATGAATGTCTCAAATTTCATGATTAGGGAGGCTGACTGTGAAGAGATGGCGAGGTCTGCTCATGCGCTCTTTGCTATGGACGAACTGAGCCAGAACTGAACCATGCCGAGCGTTATTGATGAACTAGTACCAGTTTAGCACGGTTTGCTTGTGTCGGGCAAAGTGCGGTGTGCATGCCATTTACACTCAACAGGTATCTCGGTTAGCGTGCTCAGACCGATTTCGGCACGGTTTGAAAAGGGTAGTGTAAACGGGGCTTATGTGAGGGCCTTTCTACCAGGGCTGGCTTTCAGAGTTCCACAGCTACATTGAAAGCCTCTTATTCACAATTGCAAAGAAAAATCAGTCTAAATTTCTAAATTTTTGCGGCTTCTACGAGGCCTTTTGTAGTGTATGGCTTCACGTTAACTGCTAGTTGTCTTTTTCAGACATTTTCTTTTTTTATGTTAAGTTAAATTTAGTTAGTTTGGAAATTGGTGTTTGGTTTGGTTAATGTTAACTAGTCTTTTGTGTGTATTTTGTTGATTCATTTATTGTTGTTTGTCAAAAAAATTTGTCTGAAATAAATTCCTCTTCTATTATATTCTTTTCAGCCATAGCATAATTAAATTCTAAGAACTTCTTCAGAATTTATCAGAGCAAATGCTAAATTGTTCATGTAATATATTCCCATAATAGTTCTAACTTTAATATTAGACTTGATATAAAAGTGATATGCTATATATGTGTGATTTCTACGTCTGTTCTTTACTTGGGTTGTTAAGTGAGGGGCAGGGGTTGCTGGTGTAGAGGCAGTGCCTGCCCATTTTGACATTAAAATAAAAAGATTTTTGATATGGCAAATTTTTTGGACACCATCAACAAAATTATGCACTTTTAAAAAACAGCTGGATGGTTTTTTATTTTCAGTTTTTCTTTTAACCCTTTATAGGGCAAGTTACCGTTTTGAATCACTTGCATAACCCTTACAAACGGAGTCCCCCCATCCCTCAGTGAGGTCTAGAAGCTCAAGATTTATATGCAGCCAGTCAGCAAAGATACTGCTACGTGGCTCTACATGTTATTTTGGAATTGGACCAATTAGATGATCCCTTTAATTATATATTACCTACTGTAAATTAAGTTGAAAAAAAGTTGACAAGTTAAGAAAAAAAGTAAAAAGCTAATTGAAAAGTTAAAAAGTAAAGTTGTAATGTAAGTGCCCGTATCAGCATTAATGCTCTAAGGTTATGCTGTAACAACAAAAAGTGTGTTTCTATCACTCATTGAGCGTTTTTCAGGAATTCCTTATAAAAGCATTTTTTTATATTAAGGTACGGTAAGTAGCAGTTGAGTGTTATTACATTGACCTTCATTTTTACCATCAAAATACAAATATTTTTTGAATGTTACAAAACTAATAAGGGCTTTTCATGTCCTCAAATAACAGTCTTGGTTTGAAATTTTGATTTTCAAAGTATATAACTAAATGCCCTATGAAGGGTGGAGTGCTTTAACTTTTCTACAAGTAGAGACCAAAAATGGAAGAACAGAAACATCCAAAAACATCCCTCACTGCCTTGATCAAGTCAATTCTATTTTATAACTTTTATACACAATCTATTTAAAATAATTTCTAATAACTGATAAATATTATATATAAAAAAAGGTTTATACAAACCTTCCAGAACCCTCAGACTAGAACTGAGAGCCTATATAGGTGTGTGGTGCCATATTTTTCAACATATAATCAGATGTCTTTTTCCTTTGGTTGTTTTATGCTCAGAATGTTTCTTGACAGCAACCTTTGGACAAGCCGTTCATGTTTAGAACAAATAATTAAAAATCCGCAGGTGCAAGAACTACTAGAACATTATGCCTCCTAGAACAGTAAAGAAAGATGGATGTGCTTTTATTTGCACACATGCTTTACAATGAAACCATTATCTGTATTTTTAATTAATTCTACACCCAAAAATATTTTTACTGAGATCAGAGAATTATGTAAAATCCTAAGGTCCGTATTTAAATTCTCAATAGTTTGAGTCGTTGTCTATTTTTGACTGACAATTCTGTTCCTGTAGGAAGATATATAATAGTGCGTCTGATATTGACTGTTATATAAACATAATTGTATACAATCTGTAATGCAGCAGAGTTTCTAACCTGTGTTTCCTATGCCAAGTTGCAGGGCGCTGCGGTCCTTTGTTAGGCCGTTGGTTTTGGGACTGGCACTCGGCGCCACGGTGGCCACCGCTCTGGGAGGTCGCTTCCCTGGAACCTTTACTGTTGTCCTCAGCAAATCAATCTCCTTTCCATGCACATTCTGCATGTAGTCCTATAGAAATAATAAAAATAAAAAAGGACAGGAATAAGCAAACATATTTTTCAATAAGATACCTGATTACACACAGTGGACCGCCTTGAAAAATTTCCAAGTATTTTGGAAGAAAAACAAATTAAAAGGCTATTCAGTTTCCGACCCCATTATTCACAGCCCACCTTAGACCCTCTGCGAAGGCTTTGTGATGCTGGAAGAATTATTGTAAAGCCATTATACATCACCTGTGCCCACGCTGTTCCTCTAAATAGCAAGATGTTAGGCTTAATGAATGCAGACTGTCTCGTAGTTTTTTTTTTTCCAATTTGCCCATCTGATTTGGTTTAAAGTGACTACTTCCCAAATGTGGGAAGCCAAGGTGAAAATCATCAGGCTCAGCAGAAAAAAAGCCCAGATAGAGGCGAGCTCGGCCTTTGCCGTCCCCCCAACGGCTCCTCTGCTTTATTACCGTGTCATAAAGCACTCATTTCTTTCCCAAGCCTCCTCGCTAATTACCCAGTGAGCGCTCTCATTTCATTTTATTGCTGGAATTAACAGCCAGATCGAAGCGTGCAAAGCTATTAAGATGTGTGATTAAGCCACATTCAATTAGTTTCTACAAACAATTTAATTGATGTAGCAGATAGAATTAACAGAAGGTGATTGTGTAGATGGCTTGGCTGACTGCGAAATTAAAGGTTCCCCTCTTCCACTCTCTGGCTGCCTCTCTCCTTTTTTTCCCTTTCCGTACTCCTTCTCTGCTCCGCTGCTCAGAATGAGTTGGAGCTGTTACCCTGTTAATGTAACTGTCTTCTTTATTTCACCTTACCCTGTAAGTCAACAGATTCATAGATTCATAGATTGCCCCGATGACCCGTAATAGCGGTAATGATCAAGAGATAGCCTGTTCAGTCAATTACATACATCAGCATGGCCCGGCACTGCTACGCTTTAACTGCCTGTAAATTAAACCACTAACACACTGTCAGAGGAACAAGGCCACACACACGGTTCAAATCTAACCGCTGGTCTGGTTTTTGAAGTTTGAGCTGTCTCATTAGACGCAAAATGCTGCCTGTATCTTTCATCTGATGGGGGCAAATGATCTCAAAGCTTCAATCGCGGGACTGGAGGTATTACAGGTTGGTGGGAGGGATTTAGAGGGGGCATCTCTAAACGCAGCGCAGGGCTCCTAAGCTGTCTGCTGCCAGCCAGCCAGCCGAGTGTTTAAGAGGTATTAGCGGCCCAGCGGGATTCTGACAAAGATGGATGTGGGAGGCTGGTCAGGCTCCGCTGCCATGCAGTGAGAACCATTATAAATAAAAGCCAGCGTGGAGTCCAGGCGAGGCATGTCTCCATTAGCTGGTAACATGGACGGGCAGCACAGGAGAAGCTACGATGACCACAAAACAAACCCTGTTTTAAACGATGCCAGGCTGTAGGAAAAACGGTTATCAAACAGGCATATTCTACGTGGTACGTTGCCCACAGATTGTTTAACCTTCTCAACACATGTTCCATCAGTCAACACAAAGTAGAGTAAAGCTGTGAAATTAAAAAAAGTCACAAAAATCTGACAGGTGTTGCACATATTTGGTTTACCAGCGTTTACCTCTTTGTGAGGTAGCTTAAGAGAAGGTTTTCTAGGTATTGCTAAAATTATCAGATTTAGCTATTGGCTTTAAGTGAATTGTTCTTAATGTGAAACAGCTGTGATGTGAGTCATTTCTCCGTAGCGATGGCTGTATATTTGGGGTCACTGTCCTGCTGGAAGGTCAACCACTGACCAAGTCTTCAGCCTTCTGCAGCCTTAAACAGCTTTTTCTCCAAGAGTTCCCTGCATTCAGCTGCCTCCACCATTTACCTCTGACTGATTTTATTGGGTTAAGCAGGAAACAAATACAATCCTTACACCATAATACTGCCACCTCCATGCTTCCTTGTCAGGATGATAATCCAGGGTAATTTGCAGTTATCATTCCGTAGTGAGTTTGCTGTTCTGCTGTACTTTTTCCATTTTCACATGATGAAATGAAACAGGAACTGAATAGCCAGGAAGCTGGAACCTGGTGCAGTGAATCGTAATGTTTTGTTGTCGCTTTTTTTCCTATAATTTGTTCCTGATTAAATAAAAATACATTGAAATTTTCAAGTATTATCTCTGAGATGTATATAGTTTGTAACTGTTTATCTAAACCTCACCTTGTTTAAAAGTTGTCCACAATGTTAAATCCCCAATTTCATACATTTATTCTAAGTTTAGGTTGAAAGATTTCTAACCTGCAAAGCTGCTTGTTGTGTTCGTTTTTTTTATTAGAGTTGCATAAATGTGTCACACTTTTTTATAGCTGTAAAAACAAAAAATCCCATCAAATCCACAGAAAATACAGCTAAGTTTGTGTCTGTATGACAAGCTGTGAAAAAATCCAAGGGCTACGAATTCTGTTTCAAGGCACTTGGTAAATGATGTGTATGGCTGTAACATTCCAGTGTTTTTGGCAATAAATCTGACATAGAGGCCGATTAGGTCCCAAAGACACGTACAAAACACAACACAGAGGCACACTTGAAAAAGAAAAGCAAGAGGAAAAGAGAGGAGGGGTGCGAAACTCACATGTAAACTGGGGTGGTAAGTGAGGACGCCATTATCGCACAGTGTGACATATTTCTTTTTCCACTCCTTGTTGAGGGATTTGCCACTTCGCTTCAGAAGGATTCCCTGTAAGAGAGAGCGCACCACGGTGAGCATATGCTCCTCTAAAAGCAGCATGGTTGATGATATGAGCCATTATGGACGTTAAATACCATAAAACTGCTTTATTATTGTGGGTACAGATTTGCTGTGGTGCTTATGTGAGGAATTATCTTTGTTGGCACAGGCAACAACAAAAAAAAATAAGTAAAATGGTAGTTTAATAGAATAATTGGAAGTGGGTGTTTATGCAAACATGAGAAAGAATAGCAAATAATCACCTGTTTGTTCCTGTTCTGGTAAAGTCTGATGGGTGATAAGTTCAAATATACTTTAAAAAAAATGTTTTAACATTTTCAGCTGGCAAAGTTTTACTGACACAAAAACCAGTGAAGAAGAGAGTCAATCCAATTTGCCAGACCTCCTCCCTCCTTTCATACACATTACATGTTGAACTCCAGAAGACCCCAAAATCCTCGGATTAAAGAGTGTGATCTCTCCTCTTCAAAGCACACTCACTCCTGCTCCTATTCTACTTTATCTTTTGGAGGCCTTTTAGAGCCTTGGATGGTTTCCTTATCTGCAGAGTAAATCCACTGGTAAACAATGCAGTTCCTCTGCAGGAGGTGACCAAACGCTGCTGAATGCAAGGGCCAGGAGGCTTTACGGGGTTAAATAGTAGGGAGGGGCACGCTTAATTAGGGGATTAAGTGGGACAGTGTTTGTGCTTTTCCAGCCCTTCCCCATGTGAGTGTGTGTGAGAGCTAAAAAGGGGGAGGGAGGGTGTAATGTTTTTGCTAGTCAGTTCCATGCTGCAGCCTTTAATCCTGATTAACATATCAGGAAAGGGTGACCCTCAGCGACCTGGGCACCAGGCTGTTTGCCGACAATCATCCTAATCCGAAACCTGACTCATATGGAGGGGGGGGGTCTAATCAATGCTTCTCTTACCTTGAAAGTTTTATTGTTTCTGCTGCAAGAAACTCATAAGAACTACTGTTGAAACACTGCATAATATTCATATTTTAGAAAACTCTTCTGAGGTAAAGACGCTGAAGACTTTGTAAAATAGTTGCAAACTAAACGATTTTTAGATAGAGAAGAAGTAAACCATAAGTCATTTATGTTTTGGAGGAGGTGTATGAGGTTTTTTAGTTTTTTAAAAGGATAAAAATTTATATTGAGAGTATTGTTTTTGTTCCTTTTTGTCATGTTTCTTATGTGGGAATGGATATCTCTGATCACAATAACCACAACTTTTGGGAATTTTTGGCCTACAGCATAACCTAATCACAAAAGCCTTATCCCTCTAGAATGAGCTGATATTCACAATGATTTGGTTTTTCTTCAAAAATGACTGTTAAATAAGTACCTACCTATAAAAAACCTTGTCGTAAAACATGAGCAAAAAGCAGAGTAAAAATTCAAAGAAAACAAAGCAGAGAAACTTGTCTCCCTATTATGATAAATTAGTTTAATTCAACCAAATTACAAATAAAATATCTCAAAATTTGATATTCTGCTCTGTTAATAAGCAATAAGTTAACATGGAAGTCCAGTTAAAATTGTACATATTTGTTACAAGTCCATATTAAAAATTATTTAATTTAAACTTAAAAAAACAACAAATTAATAAAAAATTATAATGCATATCCAATGGCTCTGGTTTACTGTTCTACAATTACTGATACTTTGTTTTGTTGTTTTTTTTTCAGGAGGAATAATTGTGTCCTCTGATCAATAAGTTGCTGACTGCTAAAGCTCTTTTCCATGCAATCAATAAAAGAGAAGCAAACACTTTTTAAATGGCTCTCTAATCATACAGGGTAAATGATCCAGTGAAATGGCCTCTGGCAACTTCTGAATACATGTTTTACAAGCAAATATATTGCTCATCCTTTTGCCTTACTGGGGCATACACAAATCTATACATCCAATCAGACTGAAGCTCTATATTATTTGTCAGAGTTGAATCGATAAAGAGGTGAGAGGATTGCATGAAAATCAACTTCCCTCTTTTTTTTTTTTTTTATAAGGAAAGCTGGTACATCTCAATAATTTACAAATGAAGAGTGAATTGGTTTTGGTAATTCACGTTAAAAGCAGAAAAAATATTTCTGGAGTGATGTTTTAATTGTTTAGTTCTTTAAATATTTATTTTATCTCACAGCTAATGAAAACTCAAAATTTGGAATCCCCCCCCCAAAAAAAAAAAAAAAATCAAATAAGAAATATCAGATTATCACCATTTTGAGAACAGATTCATTTAAATAAAAAGACTCACTGAACCAAAAGAGAGTCATCTACATCCTCCATAAGGAGGCAGAGCCGACTGCCCCTAAGTTGATCAGAGGAAAGTTGAGTGCAAGAAGAAATATCAACAAGTAACAGAGGTAAGCACAGCATTGACAGGATTGTATTGGAACATCTAATGAAGGTTTTTCTTTTTCCCTGAACCAGAGAAACTTTCAGAAGCATCCTAAAATGACCCAGATCTGACGTCAATAAATAAAGGCTGTTGTTAAAGTAATCTGGGCTTCGTTCATTCCTCAGCTAAGCTACAGGCTGGCTGCATCAACGCCATCCTGGACCGATGCAGTAATTCAAGTAAAAGGAGAAATATAAAGATTTTCTCATGATACATTCCTAGATTTTCTTTTTTGTTTTGGTCTTTTGAGATTTTCTTTTACTGCATAAAATCCTAAATAATATTACTATGTGTGCAACTTTTACTTTTTTAAGTGGATTACTGAGATATATTAACTTTTTGAAGAAATTGTTGTTTACTGAGATACACCCATTTTCCAAATATAAAAGTTATTTATCATCACCTAATGGGTTGTTTTAATAGATATTTAAAGTAATTTTAAAGGCATCAAGTCAACTATTAAAAGCAATATGCAAATCTAATTTCTCTGCATCCTTTTACGATGACAGCAGAGCTTCTTCTAGTGTCGTTCCCTTTAAAAATAACACTCAAACTCAAACCATAAGTGTGTGTACCAGCCTATAGGACATGTCTGAAAGAGGCAAAGCATCAGATGTTCTCCCTGTGTTCACACAATTCAAATCTACCCAGAAGAGACAGCATCATCCTCTCCCTTTGTTGGAAGACTAGGAGAAAAGCTGCCTCCTGCCACAGTGGCTAACTGATAGTTTCTCTGTGTGACACACCAGGAGAGGGGTGGGTGGAATGGGGGGGCGGGGTTGTGTCTATGTTGGGTTGTGATGGGGGGGTACAGAGGGGGTCTGTGAGCAAGGATGCCGCTGATGGAGGCTCTTCGGCAGTGACTGCATTGTTATCTTTGCTCACTTTTTGTACGCTGGAAGGAGGAGCAGGGGGGGTGGTCTGTAATTTGGGCTGCTAGGGGTGAGGGGGCACTGGCAATTAAGCTCACATTGTTGCTTTGATCCTCCTGATTGTGTAGTTGACCAGTCTGATGATCAGACTGGAGCCAAACTATTTGCAACAGCAAAGAAGACAAAAAACAGCTTGTAGACAAAAGTTGAGTGGAGACGGGTCCAATGTCATTTTTAAATTAAAAATTCCAGGTAATTAGCCTTGGAACATGTGTTCAACCTGACTTATCTTTGTAAAAAATAAAACAAAATAGTTTAACTCGAAAAACAGAATTTTGGTTTAAACTGAACTGATCGACCAAAAGTTTAGATTAACTAATCCCAAACAGTAAAGTGCCCTCCAATGAAGTAATTCTTCCTTTGCTCATTTGTTAGGAAATTCTTACTTTTTACAATGAGAGGATTAATAATCCCAGTGTCACTATAGTACTTCATAAAATAAAGACTTTCTGTATCTTTATGACACAGGATGTTTAATCTAATATGAGATTAGCTCTCGATCAGATTCGGCACCTAGAACCAATACACAGGGAGGTTTCAAATTGAGCGCAGGAGCTTTGAAACACTCAACCTGCCATTATTTCTGCTGTAAAGAAGATTTGGCAATTTTCTTCCAAAGGGAATGAGGAGGTCTGGCTCAAAAGAAGAAGAACATTATCCTCTATCATCTGCAGGTAAAGAGGATAATACAGGGCTAGTGACCCGCTTTAAAAGGCCCTCATATAATCAGGAGTGATTACTAATCAACGTGTCCTTTACTTCTGCTCAGGTTAACGTTGTATATCTTCAGAAATGATTCGGACTCTGTTCACTAGTTTGAAACTGCCACATGGAAGCCCATTACTAAAAATCAGGATGAGGGAATTACAATAAGAAGCAAATAAATGAAATGAATAAATATACTAAAAAAAGAAAGAGAATTTCAAAAAATTTTTCCCCCCTACAGAAAATGTTGCTTTGTTTTGTAGAAATATTTTTCCAAATTTTCTTAGAGCAAAAAAGAAATGTCGTGTTTGTGTCCTCCATCTTTTTCCATTTACAACTGTCCAATCTGATTATATGGACGTTCATGAATGTCTATCCAGTACTATTAGTCTTCACCTTATCAAAATAAACTAAAGCCAGATATTTATTTTTATAAATGATTAGTATAACCATTGTGTAAATTAAGTGGTAATATAAGAAAATAGAAATCTTGTTAATTGAAACAGAAGTTAGGAAATAAAAAAGGAAATTATTCAAAATCTATACTAAATTTACTCCTTCTGTGGCTATAATAAATTATTTTGTTATAACATGCCTAAAATAGCGTTGTCCTTTTGGTTTGATTTTTTTTTGTTGCTATAAAAAAACATTTGAAAGACCGGCCTCAAACTAAACATTTATGATTATGCATAAAATAATAAAATCATAGAAACTAAATATAAGGAAACTAAGGGGGATTGTTAAGCTGGTATATTTTATAAGCCTCTTTATATCCATAATTTTGTAATTTATACAAATATGAGAATATTATCTTATTTGCTGTTCTGTCTCGCCATCTAGTGGTTTCATCAGCTGCACAGAATCATTTCCCTGCCTTATATATATTGAAGAAATGCAGTGAGACAAATATTAAAAAAAAACTTTAAAGTGAAACAGAGAAAACTGAAATAAATAATTTTTAAAATATATATGTTAAAGCATATTTCTAGAGAAGTGATTCATAGGTATTTGCAATTACTGAGAATTTTTTTAGAGTAAAGAAAAAGTATGTCTTTAAAATCTCATTTAATTATTATTTGATTACATGGGCCTCACAAATAATTTTTCTATGGATTTTGTTTTATTTTTAGAAAAACATTTTATAGCTAAAGGCCCTTTTTTCCACAGGTGTTAAATTGCTAAGTTATAATAAACAAAGATGAATTGAGATAAAGCAGTTTAGCTCAGATTACGTTGATAAATCACCTTTAAACACATCCAACGGCAGAAATATTTCTATTTCTGTTTTTATCAACTACTGCAAAACCTAAACACACACGCAGCAAACGGTATAAAATAATAATATTGTTGACTTTCAGTAATATATTCTAAATATTTTTTATCCATTATCTAATTTACTCATTAAGAGCTTTAGCATTTACAGTAACTACATGACAGTATTATTATTTTTTCTTTATTTAGCACTTTTTTTTTTTCCAATTTGCCCCCTAAACCACCCATTAATAATATCCCAGACATATTTAATTAGTTGGTTTGTATTGTGTTGTGTTTGTTGCCTTGCATAGTGATTTTTGTACCTCCTGCATTATTAAGCTGGTCCATCAGTACGCCCCTTTGTGTTACTGCTCTGTTTGAAGAGTCGTTCAAAAATGACAGTAAAATGGAAATTGAAATACACTTCAAATGGCATAATAGAACATTTAAACAAAAAGTAGTTATGGTTACAAACCAGTTTCCTAATTTGGTCTAAAATTCTGTTAATAATTAAAGGAAATCTGTGTGAAATATGTAAGCAATGCTAAAGTAATACATATTTAGAATAAACAAAGTCTTTGAGAGTTTAGCGGAGAAATTCAGAATTTTTTTTTAAATCTTCTAATTGACTTTAATTTAGCAGTAGGATTTTATTTTTTTTTTTTTGCTTTTGCTTTTCGTCATCATGTTATTTGCAATTCTGCGTTGCCATCTAGTGGCAGTAGCAACCTCACATTGTGTCTGTTCTGTTATGATTAACCCATCACAAAGTTAAAACAGGTATTCATACTTACCCTGACAATTATGGGAAATGAAATCAAAAGACAAGTAAAACTGCTCACCTGTTTGATAGGTATGGCCCTCCCACTGCCTATGCTGTCTGTTTTACTGTCAACGCTCTTTGCTTGCTCACTGCCTTTCCGTGACTGCAAGAGAACAAGAGAGTCAGTCAGAAAGTGTTGCAACACCATGGCTATAAAGCAGACTGGGGGCTGTGGGGTGTGAGGAGGTGAGTGCAGTTTTTTTTGTGTGTTGGGAGTTGTGTGGGTGACACAGGTAGACTGTGGGTCAGAGGGTGGGAAGGTGAGGTGGGGAAGCATGTTCTCTTTTTTTTTTTTTTTCTTCTTTTTTTTTGCGCTTCTGCAGTATTTGTAGGGAAACTCAGCGTTGCAAAAATAAAAAGTCTCAAAAAAGAAGCTTCAAAAGAACACACAAGCAGACCAGCAAAACATACAGCAGGAACACCAACGTGCAAGTCAAAAAGAAAATATAATATAAGAGACCAAAACAAGACCACACTTGACACATCTCAACACGGAGGACACAACCAAACATTGAGTCATGACTCAGCCCTGAAACCCTTCGCCGATCCTCTCCTTTGATTCACATCATGAGTGGGCCCTCAGTGGACCTGAAGACCCACTGCTGTGCTACCCAGGGAAAACTTTTTTATAAGGGCTTATGCACAATAAATTAATATTTTCTTTTATATACACATCAAAGAAAGAAAGGCAAATTATTATTCAAAAATAAGGCTTTGGTGAAAGAAGTTCCTCCAACCTGCAAAATCTATAAGGACAGAAATCATTCACATATTAAAACAATTCATTTCAGAGCTTTCAAGTGCAAAAAATACAGTAGAACCTGTTGAAGGGAAAAGGGTGGTTAGATATTGTCATATAGGAAAATCAACAACTTCATAAATGACCTCCCAACCCAACACGGATAGAGACGAGGTAGGGACAAACATGATGAGTGTGTATGGTCTCACTCAAAACATGAGAGATGCTCAGTCACCAATGGAAAGAAGGTAGAATCCCACTTCAAGTAAACCAACTCTGAGGTTTCCATTTTTTTCCAACATTTTATTTCCTTTTGTTTATGATGACTTGTTTTTAGCTTCTATACAGACACCATACAAAGCAAGTCACAAATTCACTTCAAAATATTCAACAGATTGAGCCAAACATTGCAGTTCCCACAAAATATAGGATGGACAATAAAAGGCATTGTTTCATATATTCCTTATAGGTATGTACCTTTTGATAGAGTAGCATTGTAAATAAAATACAATACAAGATATACAGCAGTCTATAGTTTTCATTGAATCCCTTCTTCATGGTAGAAAAGCGATTATGCGAGAGTTCATAATCTCTGTACCAAACCAAAACAAGAAAACTAAAACAATAAGGAACTTAAAGGTGCAAAAAAATTGGTTTTTTTTTTCAAATAAATAAAGGAGGAAAAAAAACAACAGGATGTTTAACTACATTCATACAAGTCGGTGCAACCCAGTTTCATTTGTTAGCAACTCTCAGTATAATTTCTCTGTAATACACCACCCAACCCTGACAGACTGTGCTAACTTTTTATGAAGGCCTTCATAAAATGTTCCCCCAAGCTTCTCTTACCTAAAAAATACCTCTGCATAAGCATACATTTACACCACATTTTTTCCATTGAGTTCAATACTTCAATACGCCCTGGAAAAAACATGAACAAACAAAATAGAAACAGAACAAACAAAAGAGGAACAAAAGAGAAAGAAAAAGAGTAATAAACAACAACAAATTGGCACCTCTAGTCCTTGAGTCCGCGTTTATGGAAAAAAAGGCCGTGTGATGTCATGTAAGGAAAAGTTTATGTCCTTTTGGTGGCTGAATAACAGTTCCAAGTGTGACTTGACTGTACAGTGTTTATTGTATGTCATATGTCTGAATGAAAGGAGGAAAAAAAAAGGCGAATTGGGGGGGAAAAGGTGGACGGGGCATTTCCAGAAGAGTCCCTACAGTCTGTCTCACTTGGCGATACTCGACAGTCTACTTTTGAAAGCGCACTCAGAAACTCCGCTGGACTCGATTTTTATGCGGCTTTTTGACGCAAAGTCCTATGGGTTTCCACACGCATTACCCTAAATGTGTTCAAGCACTTAGGGTAAAGCAGCAGCAAACTGTAAGTCCTCACCCAATAATCTCCTCTCTATCAGGTTTGGCAAAGCAGGGGGACTCTTTATTTTTTTTTTTACCCATCATGCTCTTCTAATTCGGAAGGAGTTGGAAAGCCCTTTTTGTTGAAGAAAGGTTGGAAACAGAAGCACAAATCTGCAAATATTAAAAAACAATGTCAAATGGTTATTATTTTTTTGTTGTTGTTATTTTTACTTATGTTTGGTCGCATACGTGAAGATCCAGCAACAAAATAGAGAATGGAAATATGAAATGAGGCGACATTGAGTGGCAATCATTAATTAATAAGTTCAGATGAATGGCTGGGGAGGGGAGTTTAGTATAAAAAAATGGCGTCATATTATTTAAGTTTCTAACAGTGTGCTTTTTAACACAAAAAGACAGACAGTCTGAAGACCACATTAGACCACAGACAGGTTGACAAAAAAAACAGTTTGGAGCTATTGACCATGGAAGCACTAGGAAAGAATAATCTGTGCTGCACTGACACCTAGTGGCCAAGGGCAGTTATGGTCAAAAGTTTGGCTGGGAATGGTCTATGGCTTGTGAAACTGATAGATGAGAGCGGCAGTGAGAGGACAAAGTGAAAAGATCTTCTGATGGGATGGTTTGAGTCTCGATTACTTACTGTAAACACTCAAACTGAGAATTCAGAAGGAGGGCCTTTTTTGATTGGGAGTCAATTTATGTTGGATGTGTTATACTCTCAGATATAATTAACTTCATAAAAATGTACATCATCATATTTGGGTTTTAACTCTTCAAGAGTCCCAATGCCAATGCCATGAAAGCCTCATTCTTTATTTCTGGTTAATACAAGGACTAGACTTTCATTATAAGCTTATCTACTAATGGCATTAAGGAATACTTTGTATCTTTAATTTCTAATATTTGAATCTTCTATCATTGTCATAAGGTAAAGCATGATCGGTATTAATCAGTCCTCCAATGACTTGGAGGACTGGTGTAGTACTAGTAGCATATGGAGGTTGTTTTTTTAATGTTTTGGATAAGTCAAAGCTAAGAAGATGGGTTCCTTGACACCTTTTTGTTGTTGAAGCATTTTTTTCTTTGTGTTATTTAGTGAAAGGCCAGTGTTTTAAACACTTCAAGTCTTCCATCTCCTGAGCCCATCTCAATCTTCCAGTGTCATTGAAGAAACGTCGTCAATGCCCTTGGTAACGTTCCGTCCTCCACCTTCCACCCCTCACCCTCCCTCCTCCCACCCTTGGCTTGCAGCTCCTCAGAAGGTCATGAGCTGAAACTCCCGCTCGGCCTGCCACTCGGGTACCCACACCGGGTAGGTGGCGTGCTTCGGCATCTCCATGACGCGGACGGGGAGAGGCTCATTTCTCTGGTGGACATGGTTAGTCACTACCTAGCAGGGGGGGAAGGGAGACAACAAGGGGAGCTAGCACCAGCCTGTACCGCTCGGAGGCCACAAAAACCAGCGACTCCCAAAGCAGCTGGGGTGAAAGGATCAAGACAAAAGAAGAGATAGAGACGGACGGGGTGGGATAGATAGGGACGTTAGAGGTGGCATTAGCTACAAAGAAAAGGGGAGAGGGTGAAAGCCAGGAGGCAGAGGTGAGGAAAAGTTTTGACGTACAAGAAGAGAGTGCTATAAAGTAAATCTCGCTTAGCCTGATGTTGTTTTTTCACAACGCTCACAAGGTTCTGCAGAAGAAAACAAATAAAAATGATCAACTCTAAGATACTTGTTTTAATGGCACTTTGGGCAATTAAGATATTCTCTGCACAGTAGATTGAGATGATTTAAGGATTTCTGTCTTCTGCAGACCTTCTTGAGCAAGCAGAAACAAGGATCTGGCTATGCAAGATTGGAAAAGAGTCTGCAGCAAAAAGAGTGGAGGGCAAAAGAAAGTAAGAAAGAAAGAAAGTAAGAAAGAAAGAAAGAAAGACAGTATATGTAAAGAGAAGCTTGAAAGCCAAGGAAACTGTAGAGGTTAGTGCACACTTAAGCTACAGGTTTTAGCAAAGGGCAAATAAGACAGGACAGGGTAAATAGGGTAAATAGCAAGCAGACAGGGATCGGGAGACTGGTGTTGTGGTAAATCTCAGCAATCAGAATTAATTGGGTCAGGATTCATGAGTCATCCAAGCTGTTTTCTGTCTTAAAGTGGCCAGTTGGAGGTTCTGGATTTGTTTCATTGGAAGAGTTTTAACTAGGTTGACTTGAATTTATAGTTCAGCTTCATGTAGTAGGGTAAGTGCTGAAGAAATAGTAAAAAAAGAATAAAAATAACAATGGCTGCTCAATAATTTAGACAATGTTAAGAGTCTAGTTTCCTTTTGGTGAGATGAGAGACTTATTCCACTCACTACATCCAATTGGAAAACAAAGAAGTATATGAGTTAATGTTTTTTTTTTTTGTTTTTTTTTTACACAGTGCTTATCTTTGATATTTGTTTCAAGGCTGAGTTTTTGGCCCATTTCGGGGTTCTAATATGAAGTCTTTTTCTCCTTAGCCCAATGTTCAGTTTCAACGAGACGCTGTCTCTGCCTGACTCGTAGACAGCAGTGCTGGCTTTGAATGCATTTTGAGCAACCTGTCTCCCTCTGGTGGAATAAAAGAAAAAGAATGTGTGCTTGGCACCGTGCCCTCTAGTAGTGTGAGTGGGTGTTGCTTTGCATCAGCTGTCGCATACTTACTGTGAAAATATTCGAGCGCCGCTTCGACTGCTTGCGGATGGGCGTGGGCGTGTTGGAGGCAGCGATGGTCTCAATGCGCATCTCCCGCTGACTTATGCTGGGGGTGGAGGGAACAGAGGAGGAGTAGTCGCTGAAAGCACCCCCACCATTGGCTGCCTGTTGGGAGCGAGAGAGATTAGGAGGAAACGGCAGCATCAGAGGAGATCAGGATGGAAGAGAGAGAGGGATCGTAAAGACAAGGGAAGGAGAGAAAGTCAGTTTGGGACGATGTGATAAGAACGTCGGTTCAGTCACCTAAAAGCAAGCAATCATTAGAGCGTTATTACCGCATAACGAAAGGAATATGCATGTCAGCCTGTTGTGTGCTCACCTGGTTAATGTGAACAGAGGGGATGGATGCAGCTGGCACTGATGAGTGGCTAGGAGAGTTGGGGAGAGATTTGCATGGACCAATAGAGAGCTGCTGCTTTTTCCTCATGGCCACAATCTTCTGGGCAACTGTTGGGAAAAAATATCTTACCCTGTCACAAATTGATGACATTGATACTGACTTTTTTCTCTAGTATATTTTTGTCACGTCATTCTAAGACCATTTTAATTAAAATTATACAGACAGCAGGAGCTCTACCTCACGCTGCTTAAATGTATAGCTTCTATTATAATTAATTGTACAGAATCTTCTCTTATCGTCTTAAGATTTCTTTTTAGCACATGCTGCATTTCAATTTAAAATGCTATCCCTCTAAAATAAATTATATTTACAAATAACGCACAAACCCAATGCAAATGCATTGAGCTTAAAAGGATAGTTTTTATTAATAGCCCTTAATGTATTTTTGTTTAAAGGATTTAGATGTGTAACTAGAACATATTTAAATCCGTCTGCAATTTAGAGGCTACAAGAGGATAGATACTGCTCTGCTGTGATGACCTAATGAAAATGGGATTTATGTTTATGGACTGAATTCAGGTAATCACGTCATGCAGTTTCCCTCCAGTAAATATTTACTACTTTACATGATGTAACTACATTTCTTAATCCTCAAAGATTTTCAACAGGGCTAAAGTCAGGTGACAATGATGGACACTCTAGAATCTTCCAGAATAACCAACTCTGTAGGTGCAACTCTACACTCTACATTAGGTTGTTGCATTGAAACGAGAAAGTTCTGGGTTCAAACTCTGATTATAACTTTTTGCCACTCTTTTCTAAGCCATGTATGTTGGTTTATTTAATTCTCCCTTAATTGAGAATTAATTAATGACTTTATTTCAGACAATTCTTTAAAAAACAAAATTGTAAAACATGCAGATACTATGTATAATTAGTGACATATAATGTTGTGATCTGTATGATTTAGTTCTTTTTTCTGAATAGAGCTATGATGAAGGGAAACTTATTGCATGTACACAGTTAGCTGGACTTATTCTGTTTGCCTCCCTGTTGATCACCAGTCCATCAGGGAGACAAACAGACGACATACTGCTGACAGACATAACCAGGTGTAAACAACTAGTGCTGGCCGACATGTTAGCCTTAACATAATTTAAGCTAACATGTCTATAACATGTAGCTTCAACATAATATATGCTAACATGTCTGTAACATGCAGCCTTAACATAATATATGCTAACATGTCTGTAACATGCAGCTTTAACATAATATATGCTAATA